GTGGGCTGTGAAAATGTATCACGGCCGGTCTTATATACTTATATATATTCAGAGTAAGTCCCCCTTATGCCCTCTTACCCCAAGTCACGGCCGCACGTGCGCGCCTCAGTTAACTATTCGCTGTGGGCATGTGATTGTGGGTTGGATCAGTGACAGCTTTCCACAAATTCCATTACATTTACTCTTTCATTGCCGGTTGCTCTGTATACACCCAGAAGGAAATTTAGAAAAAATACCAAACCCCGCCCACTGAACTTTTTCGTTTCCTCCAATTAAACACTGGTAGACTTCCATAAATACTAACAAAGATCTTTGGACTCACCTCTCCTTGTATGAACATATCTGCCAACACAAACTTATCTCAATTATCTATTCACAATACGAGTTAACCTTAGACCTGCATTGTAGGGGAGTAGTGCAGGCTTACAGGAACTAGTAGTGATGTTTGGTCTACTCTGCCCTTCATACACTGGGCCCACAATGGATGGCTCGGTTTACCCCAGTACTACAGCTGTACCACCCCATTGTCCCCCCATTTTGTGAATATCATTGGTGGGGTTAGGGTATGATCAGGTCTACACTTATATATCCTCACTGTAAAAGGTTGGAGACATTTATTCTGTGTATGAAGGAAATAGTGACTGTTGACAACACGTCACCCTTTTGTTTATTTGATGATTGTATTTTGATATGAGACTAATGTGAACGGTTTTCTACATGTGTAATTATTGGATTATTTATACCTCTACTGAAAATATAATAAAAACCATTAGAAAAGTCCTAGAGGCCACGCCTATGTCCATAAGGGGAACATGATATTAAAGGCACTAGGGACAAGGAAGACTGGATACAGATTTGGACCAGGATAGACTTCAACCCTATCAACAGTCTTGCTCTCAATTTGGGCTTTGAATCCATCTCCCGGTGGTCTATGTCCCAACCTGTTTAGCACACCTTTGCCCTAGCTCTTCCAACACCTCTTTTCGGGCTGTTCCCACCCAGGGGACATACTTCATACATTGTGGTTATGCTCCATGCTTTACAGATCTCGGACAAAGGTCCTAAAACAGTTACAAACATTACTAACCTGCCACTTTCCCAGGAACCCTTGGTACATCTTATGGCATTTGAATCCCCAGGCTTCATGAGATCCCAATTTATGTTGGCTATAAATGTTCTACTAGCTGCAAAACAAAGGCTTGGAAACGAAAGTTTGGTCCCATCGTGGAAGTCCATGATCGTCACATACAGTGAAGGAAATAAGTATTTGCTCCCCTGCTGATTTTGAATGTTTGCCCACTCACAAAGAAATGATCAGTCTAAAGATCGAATGGTCGGTGTATTGTAATTCTGTCTCTCAGTGTTACAATACACCTATCATTCGATTTTTAGACTGATCATTTCTTTGTGAGTGGGCAAACATTGAAAAACAGCAGGGGAGCAAATACGCATTTCCTTCACTGTAGATGTCATCCAAGGAAGATGCCTAATAAGAAATTCTTAGAAACCTGGGCCCCCGTGGATACATTACACCCCTCCATGTCCCCTGATACCAACACACTGCTATAGGCATTGAGGCCCCAGGTTTCTGGTGAGGGGGTCCCCAATGTCCTGCATCTGTTCTCCTTTTTGTCTTACCATCTTGTTCTATTTCCTTCCCTCTTCCTTTTCTCTCGGCCCCCTGACCTGGGAGGCCTTGGTTACTGGGTATCTTGCCTATCCTCTGTGCAGGACCCGACTCTCACACCCAATCCAAGAGTGTCTCCCAAATTATGGCTAACTTATGTGTTATGGACCTGCCAGCGGTAGCCTCTAGTGTTCCACAGACCGGAATTCACCAAGGCACGCAATATAAGCCCCAGCCTGCTTGTTCACCAGGGCCCCTGATGGTGGGGATGGACTTGGAGCAGGCCGTAACCAGGTCACGGCCCCTGTGTTCACTCAGCTGTGGTAGAAGCACTACTGGAGGTGTATAGCAGGTGAGAGCCTGATGTAAGGAGGTAGAGAGAGAGTGGAGTCGGGCAGGCCGGGTCGGTAGCAGTGGAGGCAGAAGGGTACAAAAACAGCAGACAGAAGGATAAATGGGTCACAAGCCGGGTTCGGTAACAGGAGATCAAAACATGCAGGATTAGACAGGAGAATGGTCAGACAAGCCAGGGATAAGAACAGGAGACAGTCAGCAAATCATGGTCAGGCAGGGTCAGCAACAAGGCAATCTAATTCAGGAAACACAGGATACAGGTAACACCATATGGCAACTATAGCATAGACCTGACCTGTTTAAATAGGTGCCCCAGGCGCGCATCGACGATCGCGAATGCGCATGTGTGACTGCCGCTGCCGTTGCAGGTGCCCAGGTCTTAATACTCGCATGCTAGCATGCGCAGACCCATGCGCCGCGGAAAGATCCGGGGTCCCAATTTTTCCTTTGAGGCTGGTTGTGAAGGAACTCCCGCATCAGTCTGGGAGCATGGACATTTTGAGCAGGTTCCCACAAATTCTCCTCTGGCCCATAGCCTTTCCACTTGATCAGGTATTGCGTTTGACCACCCCTTTTCCTGCAGTCAGTAATTGCCTCTACCTCAAATTCCTCTTCCCCATCAATGTCTATGGACTCTGGAGGTCTAGATCTGCGATCTAAAAAATGATCTAGCACTGCGGGTTTCAACAGCGACACATGGAAAACGGGGTGTATTTTAAGGGATTCGGGAAGTGCTAGTTTATATGCCACTTCATTGACCTTACGTTCTACTTGAAAAGGCCCCACAAATTTGGGTGCCAATTTCCTAGATGGGCATGCCAGTTTTAGGTTGGTCGTTGCCCACCAAACCCGATCCCCGGGATGTATGACCAATTCCCCTTTTCTCCTTCTGTCAAAAAACTTCTTACTATCTTCCTGGGCTCTAGCCATTGTTTCCTGTAATAACTTATTATTGGTTGTGAAGAAATTTAGGGTCTCTTGGGCTGCTGGGACTGAGTTCTCTGGAACCAGATCTGGCAGGAAAGTAGGGTGGAACCCATAGTTGCCGAAGAACGGTGATTGATTGGTGGCAGAATGGTTCACATTATTGTAGGCAAATTCCACCATTGGCAGAAGTGTCAGCCAGTCATCTTGCAGAAATGAAGTGTAACATCTAAGATATTGTTTGAGCGTCTGATTGGTCCGCTCTGTCTGCCTGTTAGTCTGTGGGTGACACGCTGAAGAAAAAGACAACTTGGTCTCCAAACCCTTACATAACGCCTTCCAGAATTTGGACGTGAATTGAACTCCTCGATTCAAAATAATATTCTTTGGCACTCCATGAAGTCTATCTCCTTAATGAAAACCTGTGCCGTTTCGGAAGCGGATGATGTCTTTTCTAGTGGAAGGAAGTGGGCCATCTTAGAGAGACGGTCTACCACTACAAAAATCACGGTGTGATCCTGCAAAGGTGGCAGTTCCATGATAAAATCTAAGGAGATCATACTCCAGGGCCGGTCAGGTATTGGCAAGGGTCGAAGCAGGCCCCAAGCCCTGTCTCTGGTGGGTTTATTACGATTACAGATAGGGCAAGATTTAATGTACGCTTCACAATCTTTGGCCATATTTGGCCACCAAAATATGCGTCGTGCCAATTCTAGGGTCTTGTGTATCCCAAAGTGACCCGCCAGTGGATGATTATGAAAAAAGCCTAAAACCAGGGACTGAGCCTCCTTGGGTACCAGGATCTGTTCCCCCCTCCATAAGAGACCTTCCTTGCTCTGTAATGAGGTTCCAGGTAGATCAGGAACCCAGGTGGAAGTAGCCTGTAGTTTGGACAACAGCTCAGATTGGAACAATAAGCTACCTGCCGGTAAGATGGTATCCGGTTGAGGTGTTTCTCTAGGGTCCTCAAACATCTGGGAGAGAGCATCCAGTTTTGTGTTTCTAGACCCAGGATGATAGGTGATATGTAGATTAAACCTCGCAAAGAATAGTGCCCATCTGGCCTGGCGTGGTCGGAGGTGTTTAGCTGTCTTCAGATACTTGAGGTTTTTATGGTCGGTATAGACCAAAATGGGATGTAGGGCTCCCTCTAATAGATACCGCCATTCCTCTAATGCTGCCTTAATGGCTAACAATTCCCAATCCCCGATGTCATAATTTCTTTCTGAGGGGGAGAGCTTCCTAGAAAAGAAAGCCACCGGGTGCATTAGTTCCTTGGCCCCTACTCTTTGTGACAACACCGCTCCTACAGCTACTTCTGATGCGTCTACCTCTAATATATACAGTAATGATGCATCAGGGTGACTCAGGGTGGGAGCTGTTGTGAACAATTTCTTTAAAGCCTCAAAAGCCGCCTGTGCTGCTGGGGTCCACTGAAAATGTACCCCCACCTTTGTGACTGGTGATGGGTGCTACCAGGCCTGAAAAATTGTTTATAAATTTACTATAAAAACCCAATAAACCTCTGAACCCCCTTCTTATCCGTGGGGCATACAAATGGTACCAATTCCACTGGTTGTTTGTAACATGGGAACCTTCTTACCATCTGCCATTGCCCTCCCCCCATTCCACCCCCCAATAAGTAACTGACCCGTCTGATCTGTCTACCCCGTTATAATCAAATTCTCCCTCCATCCTAGTTTATATACTCCTCCAGCCTTCCCATAAACCCCTCCCCAAGCACAGCGTCAACCCGGTCCCACACTTCATCCATGTCTTTGGGACCTCTGATCTCCTTATGGACTGTTTCTTCCATGATGAAGATCAGCCATGGAGTACATCTGAGGGTGTATATCAGGGTGTGCTTCTTCCCCACATGAGAGCTGGGATGTCCAGCAACATTCATCTAGAAGACATTTCCCGCACTCAAGGCACTAATACACCTCAAGGGTTGTGTGGGACCCCTGATGTACAGGAAGACAGGACTTCATTGAAGAACATTTCCCTCACTCAGGACAGGAAAGTGGCTTCTTCCTGTGTGAGATTTCTGATGTCTGGAAAGATTGGGACTTCCGTGAAAAACATTTCCCCACACTCAGGACAGGGAAAGTGGCTTCTCCCTACATGTGAGAGGTCTGATGTGTGTAAAGATTGGATGTCTGTGAAAAACATTTCCCGCACTCAGGACAGGAATATGGCTTCTCCCCCATGTGAGATCTTTGATGTGTGTTAAGACTGGACTTCTGTGAAAAACATTTCCCGCACTCAGGAACCAGAGATACGGCTTCTCTCCAGTGTGAGATCTCTGATGTGTGTAAAGATGGGACTTAACTGAAAACCATTTCCCGCACTCAGGACAGGAATACGGCTTCTCCCCGTGTGAGATCTTTGATGTGTGTAAAGACTGGACTTCTGTGAAACAACATTTCCCGCACTCAGGACAAGAATATACGGCTTCTCTCCAGTGTGAGATCTCTGATGTATGTAAAGATGGGACTTCTCTGAAAAACATTTCCCGCACTCAGGACAGGAATACGGCTTCTCCCTCATATGAGATCTCTGATGTTTATGAAGATTGGACTTCAACTGAAAAAGAAATTTCCTGCACTCAGGACAAGAATGTGGCTTCTCCCCTGTGTGGAGATCTCTGATGTGTGTAAAGATTGGACTTCACTGAAAAACATTTCCCGCACTCAGGACAGGAATGTGGCTTCTCCCCTCTGTTGATGACATTTCTGATGTTTATGTAAAGATGGGACTTCTGTAAAAAACATTTCCGCACTCAGGACAGGAATGTGCTTCTTCCCCGTGTGGAGATCTAGATGTCTGAAGACTGTTCTGTGAAAAAACATTTCCCGACTCAGACAGGAATAAGGCTTCTCTCCTGTGTGTGCCTATTAAGATTGGACTTCACAATGGAAAAACATTTCCCGCACTCAGGACAGGAATACGGCTCTCTCTCCCCCGTGTGAGATCTTTTATGCCTATTAAGATGGGGATTTATAAAGGAAAACCCTTCCCACACTCAGTACAGGAGTTTTGTGTAAAATAGCAGTGGGGGGAGGGGGGAGACGAAGTCAGGGTAGGAATCTACAACAGAGTATATGGCAGGGTCAGGAGGATTAATTACAACATAGATATAAGTGCAGGGGGTCAGGGGAGTAATGCAACATAAGTAATAGTCAGGGGGGCAGGAGTAATTTTAAAAAACATAGGGGATATAAAAGGTCTGCACACCCCTGTTAAATTCAGGTTTCGTGATTTTAAAAAATGAGACAAAAAAAAATAATTTTAGAACTTTTTCCACTTTAATTGACCTATAAAAAGTACATCTCGGAACAACAAAGTTTATTGGGGAATAAAATAAAAACTAAAAAAATCTGGTTGCTAAGGTACACACCCTTACACAATCCTTTGTTGAAGCCCCTTTTTATGTGATTTCCCGCACTCAATCCTTTTTGGGGAGGGTCTATCAGCACGGCAATCCTGACTTGGGAAATTTTGCCCCCTCTTCCTTTCAAAAAAAACCCAAATCTTAGATTTCTGTCACTCCTGCGCCAGCCCTCTTTAATCACCCCACAGATTGTCATCGATTAGGGCGGCTCTTTCCCTTTTTCTGGGGGAAACCTTTTCCTTTTTGGCTTGGATGGTGTTGGGGTTTTGCAAGCGAAAGGTAAGCTCCCTTTTTTTTAGCTTTTTTAGCAAAGCCGGAATGGTTTTTTGGGCCGATATTGACTGGTATTTGGAAGTTCATAATTCCCTCACAGGGAAAAACCCCATTCCCTGAAGAAAAAAAACCCCAAAGCATGATGCTGCCCCCACCATGCT